AGTAAAAAAAAAAAAAAGGCACAAGTATTTTTACACTGTACACCGATGATTGAAAAAACCGTGAAAAAGAAGCACAAAATTCGCATGCTTTCGGTTATGAATTTAAGTATAAATGCATATTCCATTCTCGTGAATATAAAAACTCGATTTGTTCAATTTATAGAATTTATTCTAGGAAGTGCCAGTATCTCGAGACATTGTCAAGATGTCGGGGCTCCACTTTACTTGAAAAAATAAAAATATAACAGAAACGGTGATTTTTTCCAGGGAACCCGTGCACAGCCTTCCAAGGGTGGCAAGAGAACCCAACCCGGCTTTCCCGTCATCACCCCTTTCCCTCTTCCTCCCCGAACCCCCCCTCAACATCAGATCGCATCCGGATCAGTATATCGGGTGCATCTGCAAACACTTACTTTCTTTACGCGCTTTCCTCGTCTATCTGTCTGTCTGTCTGTCTGGTTTCTACCGTAGTTTCTAGTTCCGCTATTGACTGGGATCACGTGACGACGTCGATCACCAGCGGGTCGGGGAAACTCCCTGGGAAATTTTCTCAGGGGAAGACAGAAGAAGAAGAAGGAAATATTGTACTGTACTGTATTCGTACCGTTGGTTTTGCTGCAAGCAAAGCAACTGATACCGTGTTCCTCAAAGATAAACGTTCTTCCCTGTTCGAAAAAAAAAATACCCCAGGGCTTATTTCAAGGTCCAAAAGGTTTTTGCTGCTCTCGCGGGATGAAAAATCTCGACAATATTTCCGCCTTCAAAAAAAAAAAAAATACAGGTAGACTCTCTCTCTCTATTACGATTTTTTTATTTTGCGATCCCATAGTCATCTACAAGGAATTTGTATTATCCCTTGAATTTCTTCGTAGAGGGAGTCCACCTGTTTCGAGAATCAGAATTCAGGGGTATCAATTTGATCACTATAAAATATTTTAGTGACATCATCCCAGCTCTGGTCACCCGATTTCTCTGGAAAAAACCCGTTTCGATCTTGCCAATTTTTCGTTGGTGACGCTGAACGTGGAAATTGCCCCAAAATGCCTAATTATTGAGCATCAAGTCACGACTTCAATTTTTAAAAATTCGAACGACAAAAATAAAAGAGTTTTCTCGATTCGTATCACATATCCCAAGGGCTGGCTGATAAAAAGCAACAAATTGAAAAGCAAGAAATTAACTGAGAATTTTTGATCCAATTTAAAAATGGCAAAATAAAAAAAAACCGAGCAAACCAATAAGTTGAATTTCTTCGTAACATCAAATTCCTTCTGCGTTTAATTTCTGCAAAATTGAAATTTTGAATTAATAGAGCTTAAATTCAGTGTACGAGAGGTTTGACTGAATCACTGATCATTGTTTCGGAGCTACATTTCTACTTTCGGAGTGATACGAATTAAATTTCCAACGAGATATATTCAAGTAATTTTAAAATTGCTCAAATGTTCCAAAACGTACGGGGAAGATTGGAAATGTTATTTTAATCTGGAATTTCTCGACACATGTTAGGCCAATTCAAACTCAATTAAGAAATCATTCGTGCCAGCAGTATTCCTCCAGCAATCAAAACAAAATGTAAAAAAAAAAAACACCTCAAAATTCTCAGCAGTATTGTTCCAAAGAAAAAACCTTGACTTCAAACAAAACCCCACTGCATTCACATCAGCTCGGATTCTTGAACATTCCACAACACAAAACAGCGACAACCGTGAAGAGAAGAAAAGAAATGAATGCTATTCCTGGCAGTGACCTCGTCAAATGTTTAATAACCCACAAAACAATCCCCCCTTTTTATGCCCGCACTTTTGTTTCGGTTCCCCCCCCCCCTTTTTTTCAAAAACGCTCTCCTCTGAAACAATGGCTTTCGAGTGTTGCCTACACACAAAATCATCATTAGCCTAAATCAGCCAAAAAAGAGACGCCATCTGGCAACTGAGTATAAGACAAAGAAGAAAAAAGAAAGAAACCAGGTGGACACGCTCTTTAGTCCAGCCAAGCGTGGGAAAAAATAGCGCGTCCTTCGCTTAACCTCGATGGAACTCGGCGAAAATAAAAACTTTAAAAAACCAACGTGGATTTTTCATAAAATATAGCCAATTTTTAATTTGGAAAAAAACGCATACGATGGTTTCTTCGTAAAGTTTTGCCAGTCGTGAGCTTCTCTGGTGCAGATTCGTAAGGACCATCAAAACAAGCATTTTCGTCGGGGGAGAAAAATAATAATCACAGGGAATTGTAATTGGTGATATTCTGGGCCTTAAATTACACTGTAAATGAGTTGACAGGATGTTGAGCTTGGAGGCAAGGGTTCAATTGCACAATTAGTCTTACACTTCCTCCCAAAGCACAGCAAGGTATAAAACATTTCATGCTCTTCTCTTTCCTGTTACAAAGAAATAATTACAAGACTCCTTCAGAAAAGCTATATGGCGGTTTAAGTAGGACAGCCTTCGAGTTACTGAGGTTTCAATGCATTGGTTTTAAGGGATACAGAGAAAAAGGCATTCAAGAAAACTGTTCATTGAACTGATGGACGATAAATTCAAGGACTTTTCGTAAATTCCTTCACATAGAAATCCCGGCGGTATTCAAGGGAATGGCAGCCAAAAAATAAAGCCACGCTTTTTGCACCGTCCAAAATGCAACGGTTTCTTTGGATTACGATGGGATTTTAAAGTAAATCGTATCCCTTTAGCATCAAAAAAATACAAGATGCTCCCCGAGAAACGCTTCAAACGCAAAGCTTCCATTACCCCCAGCGCAGTATAAAGCTCTTTACTGCAAGAAATAATCATAGGCATCATTCACGCCATAAATCATCATCAGGATAAAACGCCCGGAAAATTTGCTGCGGTTGAAAGACGTTCATTTCCAACCATCAGAAAAAATAGTACCCCGACAGAAAGAAAATTACGGATCCAACAGTAATTGTTTCTAGCACGCATCAGGGTTTACTGCATTTCCAGAATGCAATATAATGGATAACGAGTGAAACTTCCATAAAATGTTCGGATTTTGGCAACAACAAAAAATCTGTGGAAGTTCAACCACGTGTTGAAAATATGCATTCAAATTCGAACATTCTCCATCGATATTAACGTTTTTAAAATTGGTACACTGTATAACTTTCTCCACTGACCATGTCAAGATTTTAACAAAAGAAATGCCAAAATCGCGATGATATTATTTTCGTGTCGTGAGAGCCAAGAACTGGTTTCAATACCAGCACGATCAAATATTTAAAACTTTAAAAATACAGTATCTGAATCCCCGTATCGTAAATATTATTTTTTCAACTATAAAATCATTTTACGCGTGAAGTAAAAGAAGATATGCCCGAAAATTGTGATTGAGCTCATTCTATAAATGGTAAGTGTTTCCGGGAAACACGGTTCCCAGTCCCAAAAAAAAAAAAACGTAAACCATATTTTCAACCACTTGGTTCAAATTTGGAATTATCAGAGCTGAAAGGCAGCAAACGGAGAGAGGTTGGAATCCGAACCAGAGGGACGAAACATGTCAATCCCTCGTATTTGAAGCACTCATCCCCAGTGCGGCAGGAAAGTAGAAGAGCACTTCTTTTTTTTTCCTCTCCACTCATCGAAAATAATTGCCCACTTCCTAACCTCATCAGCGCCTTAATGACGCTAATTGCATTCAATCACGGCGCCAACACCCACTCATCCAAGCACGCACAAACGCAATGACTCAACGCTTCGCTTGTCTTCCTCAAAAAACGCATCACGAGGCTCTTGAGTATCTCAGGGTGCACAAATCATGAAACTTCCGGGGAAGTCACGAAGCTTTAAACTAGAGGCGACACCTGAAAGAACCCGTTGAAGCCAACGACTAAGACCCCACGGTGTAGAGGTCACTCGCGTCTCTAGAAGACGAGTTGGCGATTGCCCCATCCAAATTGTTTCCTCAATACTGTACTTTTTTTCTTGGATTGATCGGGATTTTTAAATATAAAAATACTCGTTTAAAAAATCATTTCGAAACTCTTCCCCGTGTGCAAGGAAGCGACACACTGATGCAATGTGTAGAAACCGAGAAAATCGATGCTTACAGCGCATCATAAAATCCACTGCGATGATTTTCCGCCAATAAACAAGCCACGAAGACGGATCGGAAAAAAATGTATTTCGCCCACGTTTTCCTGATTTCCGCATCCGTACGTTTCACAAGCGTGGTCAACCAGAACCACCAACAAAACGTACAGCATTTATTTCCCCTCAAACGATTCAAGCGAACCCAAAATTTTGGGAGAAGCAAAACCCTGATCAACATCGTCACATTCATTTCCGTGAATGTGATTCTTCTCGGTTTGAAAATTTTGCCGAGAAATCAACCAAACGAACGAAGAGTTGCAGAAAAGAAATATACGGTAGTACACGTACTACAATTACATAAGTGGGGTCCGATTTCCACACGCATTCGGATTTCTTCACTTCTTTTGTCTGTTGAGTTGCTGCAGTAAATTAAGTTTAAGCTCAAAAAAGGCAGTTCAAATTACGTCAAAATATCGTGTGGTTAATTTCCAGCATTCCACATATTTTCCACAGTGAGATTTTACCATCATGAGTGATCACACATGAATTAAAAAATTAATTTGATCACTGAAGCATCACACATCACAATTTATAATCATCAGTGATTTCAACGTTTGTTTTCTTAAAAACGGGGCAAGGTCCCATGGTTACGAAGTGTTCAGAAAAAATTAACTCTATCACTCTCCAATAATTTCCACCAATCATCAATGTAAGTTGACTTGAACGCTCAACCATGCGAAATTCCACACTTGAAAAAAAAGGCGTGAAATTAAGCATTACTTTAATTTTCTGACCTAGAAGTGAGAGATATTCATGAGTTTTTAAATAAAATGTTGAATATTTTTATACAGTATTTCAATTTACGCGCGGAAATCAGACGTTCCACACAACAATCTCAACACGTAGATTTAAATTTTCTTTATCATTTTGAAACAACTTTTCATCACCTCATTCCATTGGTCGAGTGAAAACTGTAAAAAAAATAGAAGTACTCACCGTTCGTCGCCAGCGCCAACATCGTTCCCGAGTCACGCACTTCGTCGAATTTGGCACTCAACACTTGCATCCTGTCAAAAGTGAAAAAGAAAACAAACAAAAATGATAACATCGAACCCAACACCAAGTGATCGAAGCATACAACAGATGACAACGCAACTTTCTAACAGGGATGAAAGAAAAGCGTTTTCAAACGAAACCAAACACACGATCGTCTTTCCTGGGGTTTTTTCTTTCTTCTTTTTTCGGGGAGGGGGAAGAGCAGTAAAAAGAAAATGGAACATTCGGGAACATTTCCTGCATGAGCTCATCGTGTCGAAAAGAGACACACACTCAGAAAAAATAAAAATAAAAGAGAGCATCAGCAGCAACAGTTCAGACCAACGCCCTGCTTCCACTATTAGACCAACAACGTCCGGATTTAATTCCTCGCTTTCCTTCCGTCCTCCCACTCGATCTTCCCCCATTGCCTTTGGCCCGCGATCGTTTTCTCCCTATTTCGGAAATTCCCATCATTTTCTTTCCACAATTTCTCAAACCTTAGAAGCGAGGTTTACCTCGAGCCTCCAGATGAACAAGTCCCTCAAGAAAACCCATAGGATGGTTCATGTGCTTTTCGGCCCACAAAAATAAAAACATGAATAATTTGGGCAGTTATGACTTTGGAGCAAGTGATGACAATTGAACAGCAATCTGGATAATAGACGTATTGCACAACGGATTTGTCCCACACTTGACTTCCAGCGATATTCGCTTCGGATAGTGGACCTTGCTTCGGAAAATTGACCCAAATGCATTTCATTCGTTTCTCAAAAAATATGTCGCAAAGGATAATGGGGGAACTCACTTTTTTCAACTGCATATTCCTTTCAAAACTGTTTTTAAAATCGAAAGATTTGTTTTCAAAACTCTTTCTATATTTTTCATTGCGTTTAGCATTAGTTAGAGTTGAAGTTTAAGGAAACAGCAAAATAAATTCAACCTAGGGGACGCGGAGTTCAGAAAACAAGCATTTGTGTCGTAGGAAAGAAAGAAAGAATGAATGACAGGAAATTGTAATATGTGACATTCGCGGTCTTAAATTGCTTTTTAAATCAGTTGACAGGTTGCTGAACTAGGAAGCAAGGGTTTATTCGCTCAATTATTTTTTTTTTCACTTATTTTCAAAACACATCGTGACATTTTTAATGTTTATTTTTCTATTTCCTGCTTCAATTAAATAATAGCCTGAAGGCCTCAAGAGAATTCGAGTCAGGGAGCATTTTAGTGCATTACAGTATTTTTAAAGGAATTCAGACATAGACTTGAAAAAAATTTCGGTACAATATTCGACTCAGGGAGGTCCGAGTTGTCCACGTTCAAACGAATTTTCATACTAGAATTTAAAATCTCTACAGTTCTAAATTCATGAAGGTATCCGAAAATGATCAGCCATCAAACTCACTCAGTTAATAAACCTTCCGAATATTAACCTTCCCACAATTACAGATCAAGCCCATTAAGAGAAGGGAACAGAACCTGACATAAAATAGACAAAACGTGATTTGCACGTCACTTTTAACTCGAATTCCAAAATAATTAATTTACTGCAGCAACTCAACAGACAAAAGATGCAATTGTTTCCAGGGGATGCCAGAATTGTTCCCCTCATCTCTCATTATTTTAACTGTTCACCATTTTTCCGACACCGCCACTTTCCGATGGGTAAGTCCGCCAGAAAAACCCAAAAATGCATCATTTTTTTTCTCATGAGCACCTGTAACGGTCCCAAACATATTTTAATAAAAATCATTTCACAATTATACCTTCACAACTCTTCGAAATACTGTACTAGTACTGTACTTATCAACTTTTTTTTTCGTGTGTCATGTGGCGCGTGAATCACCCTGCATCTCGTTAAGCGTATCTCTCATCGGCCAATAAAAAAAATATACTCGAGAATATAATCTGCTCTAGCAAAAGGTGTCCTGGAAGCTCGGATTCCCCGCAAACGCTTCGTGATTGCGCATATGATATCCTCACCCACAACAAATGAACAAGAGAAGACAAAAACACTGTCCCAATTTTTTTTTTAGAGTAGCTGGAGCAACATGAAACAGTACGCGATACATTTGAAGTGGAACTCAATAATGAATATACAAGGTAGAAATGAACACTGGGATTGCTCAGGGCTCCGCATAAACGGGCCTCATTCGATTCTCGGGAGTCCTCAATATACATATACTGCACACAGAGTTGCGACACATGCCTTCTTATGCTTCACTTCACATTCCTTAGGCGTCCAATGGAGCAACAGCTGTCATTGTTTCATACCTGTCTTTTTACAGGTGGTATTCGGTTCAAGAAGATTCATAATTCTGTTTTATCGTAGCGGCAAAATCCCTTTCAAAATAAAGCCATCCAAAAATTACAATAATGACTGCCATGTCGTGTCTGAGTGAGAAAAAGACATCAAACTCCACACTCGTGTTTGGCGAAATTTTGGTCCCTGGCACACTGATCCTGCACAGGAAAAATAGCAACCCAACCCTAAACTCAACCTAAGTGGTTCCAATATAAAACCTCACGCCAAAACAAACCAACCTAACCATTTTAAGTAGCCTAGCCTAAGACTTGAACAGATGAAAGGAAAATTCGCGGCAAACAATACAAGAGAGATAATTTGAGACAGAAAAATTTGGATACATGTACTGTGCAATTCAAGAAAGGAACACTTCGAGACAAAAACATTTGAAGAGCGATTTCATTTTACAATTTGATGAAGAAGTGAATGGAGCTCCATGCCATCACCCTTATGGTCCTTTGACTCCTGAATTTCGAAAATTATGCCTAAATCTTTGTCTACAGAATCATAAACCAACCATTATTTTCCGTACAACTTGCTTTATTCTTCAGGAATGATGTCCACTTCGTTCAAATTTCTTGCAATAATGGGCATTTTCCCTCTTTTTTCCCTGTAAAATATTCTCAAAGCTCTTTCCTTCTTTGGAAGAACACAAAGAACCTCAGAATAATCAGTAGTCATTATTTCTTATGTCAACACTGATGGGGCTGAAGTTCCATCCTTCTTGGATACTGTCTCAAATCTTGCCTCAAAATTTCTCAGCCTCTTGATTCTTTTACAGACTCGAAATGTTTCAATCTCTGATTTTTGCTGTCTTTAATTGTATCTGTCTCGAATTGTCTGTCTTGATTTCTCTATTTTCAAATTTTCTCACTAGAATTGCCCACATGCCAAATTGAACACACACCATTTCTTCTGAACAGCAAAAAAAAAAACACACCCTAACCCAAATGAGTTATCTTAAACCTTTGGATGTCTGGCACCAATAGACAAGCACATAAATCTATGCGTACTTGGGGTAAAAATTTCAAAACAGAAAATTAACATTTTCGACCATTTGAGTCATCAACCTCAAGCTTCCTCGAGCGTACCTCACACATAATTATCTATATGTAATTGATTATATATTCAAATCCTTAACATTTTCAGTACAGTATCGTACTTTTAGTCTTGAACGCCCATTTTCAGCTACATTTAAAAAAAAAAAGTGCCTGATACTGCGATAGAAAGTCTTTCATTGAACAACTTCCGGAGTTTTTCTAGAAGGGGAGGGGAGAAAGTCTCGATGGCGCAACGCCGGTTCGAGACAGCCACACGTCAAGTACTGTCCTACGACCTTGGTTCGCACTTCACTAGATCAGGTCACCAAATCCTCCGCTAGTAACTCAACCGCGTCTTTCACCCGAGCACTGAACCACATCGAACTACTGAATCACTTCATGACTGCCATTAACGCTCAACGACGACATTATCTCTTGTGCGGTAATGAAGAGAAATCGTTCCAAGGAAAATGTGAACTCACTTGGCAGCGGGTAGGTTGTATTTCTTCATCAAGTCTGCCCGCATTTTCTCACCCACGTGACGATAGATCTCAACCATAGTCGTCACTGCAACCTCCCGCACAGTTGCCTGCGGGTCTGACAGTAATTTGACGAGATTCGGCATCAGACGAGACAGGGACAAGGCGTTTGCGCCATATCTGGTGAAGTGAAGAACAAAATTTAACTGGAATTCCTAGGCATACAGATGATAATACTTACTCATTGAGCACATTCTGAAGGCACACCATCAGTTCTTCCCGCACCTTGTTGCTTTTGTGCGCAAAACTCGGTGCTAATCGCTCGAACAACAACTGCGGTGTCAACACGTCTGTCTCCAACAAGCGCATGATGAAAATGTGCGCACTATTTCGCACCACATCTCGTTGATCACCTATTCAAAATATTCCTAAGTATGATTACCTTTCCTTTCGCGCATTTCGATCATAGAACAAGGAAGTAACTACACTACTACAATACTGCATCTCGTTCATTTAGAAAAAGCTCCTGGATTTTTCTTCTTCGAAAACTTCTCGCCCCAAAGAATCAAGAGATAATCCGGTTTCGAATGTAGTACAAAAACTAGCTTACCTAAGCGATCCACAGCTGCTGGCAGAGATTTCGACAAGTACGGTCGAAAAGCTTCCTTCATCCTGTCTAAAATCAAACACAGGATGTCGATGCCATTCTGGCAAATCTGAAATTGTAAGGAAAACGTACTGGTCAAAATCTAGAAGGTTTTCGAGAATTTCTCTCGACACTTACCTTGTAGTGGCTGCTGTTGATCCATCCTGTGATGAGATCAACAAAGCGACCGATATCTTCACAGACAATCGAATTGTCTGGATCTTCGAGGAAGGTGATGATACTTGCGCCAACAGCAAGCTTTTTCTTTGTGTCGGCGGTGTTCAATAGGGGGATGAACTCGTCGATCCCTGCCATCACCGCGGTTTAATTGGCATGGACTCGTTGGCACGGAAGAACTTCGCAAACGCGTTGGTCAAGGAGATGTTCGCATATTTTTCTCCATCACTTTTCAATTATCACAGTCACACACGCCACGCGGATTCACACTGTTGATGAACGTGCTGACAATCATAAATTGAGGGCACTGAAAAATTTCTTCGGACCATAATATCAGAAAAATTTCTGAACAACTTTACGCAATACCAATATGGGTACCTTGAAAGGAATATCGAGCGCTAAACAAGGTATGTCGAGGTTTGATCACACACTCAGTTTCCATGTTAATGGCAACCGCCCTTCCAGCAAACTACTATGTCGATTTCAGTGATTTCAGTAACATCCATCAATTTTATAAATTTCCACGCTATGTAACATCAATTTTTCACAGATTAAAGAATAAAATGAATGGTCATCGGAATCAAATGATCCAGAGAAGATGGGGCAGTAAATGCAGTTCCGTTCTGACGAGACGAAAGGAGGTTCTTCCAAGAATCACGCATAGAAATCCATGCTTTTTCATAAATCAAACAAAATTGAATTCATTATATTTCCACAATTTGGCACATTCCGGAAATGCTCACGAGAAAACGATTACGAAAGTTCACTCTCGTTAACGTCGGCTACTCCCGGCTGTTGTAACAGACGCGACCCAAGGTATGCCATCTCTCACCACTACCATACCCTACGATATACGTCTAACGTACTCCCACCCAACCAATGCAGTTTGGTCTAATATGCTTTTACTGTACAGTACAAAACAACCGGACCAATGTCCAATGGAATTACTGTGCTATATTTTTTCAGGTAAGAGTAGGTTCGATCTCTTTCCAAAAAAAGGCTGTCCTAAAAGCTTGAACTTGTATGTTCCTCGCACTGTGGAAGGGAAAAATTAACACTGGGATATTCCATTATTGTATCCCAGAAAAATCCAGTCCAAATTTGACCATGTTACTTTTTTGCCTGCAATATTGTTCAGTATCTACCTTCAAAATTGAAAAACGCTATCGATTTCCTCGCAGAAAATTTTCCACTTAACATTTCATTTTAAAAATCAACACATTCATACATACAATATACTTGAAAACAGAAATCATCAGCGCAACTCTTCCATTGAATCAATTACCGACTTACTAAGCAACGAATATCATTTGTAACCCTCCCTCACTCAACCTTTTCATACCAGTTTGAATTTCCTCTGAAGCTACTACAGTAATTCACCTTCTTGTTTACCATTCTTCAGAACATGCAATGTTACTCCTTGCTGAACTGGGCTTGGGTCTCCGTGCTCTGAGCTTTCCTCGCCAAGTGTACATGAACAGGATGACACCCTAACAGTGGATCCTCATCAGAACTGGAAAAAAGACTTCTAATAGAATTTGAAAACTTGAATTGCTTTTGCGAACACCCAAGGGCACTAATCATGAGCTACCAGATCAACATATTTCTTCCAAATTGGTCAGTACAGTATTGGTGGACTATCTCTACTATGAATTCAAGGGACCAGAAACAAGTGAACTCCAGAGAACTCTGTCAGGCAAAAAAATCATTGAACATAAAAAATCCTAGTAGACAAGATCATTGTAGAGAGAGCCCGTGCATAGGCAAAAGTCACCCCAACAAAAATACCTCAAGGTAAACCAACTTTGACGAGAAAAGCAAAGAAGCAAGTGAGCATCTAGGCAAAAGAAACGGTGTTAAAATGAATTCAACCAGCAGTTTTTTTCCAATTCAACGTTTTAATGGTCGGATCCCTTGAATGAGACACGGACGCAGGTGGATTCACGCAATGCTACTCGCGTTCGAGGCAATTCTCGGCCACAAATCTGCGCACTCCTTGGCAACTGGCCCAGTGATGGCGGAGCCTTTCATTTCACCCTTGTTGTTGACGATGACGCCGGCGTTGTCTTCGAAATAGATGAAGGATCCGTCCTTCCTTCGAAATGGCTTTCGTTGCCGGATCACTACTGCTTGCATGACTGGCTCGACGAAAGACATTCAGAGCATGAGAAACAAGGCCATCTTATCCTCAACACCACCCACGTACGCACCTTTTTTGCGGAGCTCTGGCTTGCCCTTCTTCACTGTCGTCACGATGATATTTCCGACGGCAGCTGAGGGGAGGCGATTGAGACGACCGCCGACACCGTACACGGCAATAACGAATAAGTTCTTCGCACCTGAGCCAACACCAAAAATGAGGATTGGAGAAGCATTAGCGTCAAAACACAACTAGCAAAAGTCCTCTCTTCAATTCTGGTCAAGCACTTGATGAAAAACTCACCCGTGTTATCGGCGCAGTTCATCACCGCGCCAACTGGGAGACCGAGAGCAATGCGGAACTTCGCTCCCGCGGTTCCTCCGCGTCCTGAAATAACCCCAAATAAACTATTACCCACTCCATCACGAATAATGACCCATTATCAAACCTCACCTCGCTTCGACATATCGCAGGTTTAAAACACTTTCCCTAAATAACGCGAAAAACAAATAAGGGACCAGGGATCAAAATCAACGTAAAGAAGAGAGAAACACCACCCACGTATTCCTCGAACACAGGTGAATCAAACCCCCTGGAAAAAATTGAATAAATCATGCAAAAACCAGCAGGGATCAGATATTGACGCAAGAACACGTGAATGGTCTTCGATTGTTATAAATCTCATCACAGAATAATACGCAATACAACGCCTCACGAAAGCTCGAAATCGTCCCGCTGCAACAAACACGAGAGAAAAGAAAAGGTGAGTCTTTCGTAACAATTGAGACATAACCAAATAAACATACCATCTCATTGTATTCCATAACGTGTCGTCGGATCTTCGAGGTGTTGGTCCAAGTGACGAAATCTTCCATATGCCTGAAAGAACACGAAGTTCATTTGTACTAAAAACCCTTCTCTTTGACGTTTTTAAAGATTTGTTGATGAATTCATTCGGACCTCGATACGATGAAAGCCGGGTCATTCACCATCTCGGTTCCCACACGAACATGACCCTCTTCGACGAACTGCGTGGCGGACTTAAGATTTTGAGCCATTTGCAGCTTCACCATGATGACCTGAACAACAAAAAAACCACGATACGAAAAAAACTGAGCTGATAAAGGCAAATGGAAAGGGTCTCACGGGCAATCGTCGTCGGCAAAACGAAGAAGCGTTCACCTCATCACACTGATCCAAATTCCATTTCGTGGGGATGAGACCGAGGGAATAGAGCTTGTCCAATAGGGCCGCACTGAAAATCGCTCTCTTTGGGTCTTTCGGGTCTATCTCCTTGATCTTCCTCGCCAACTCTCTTGTCTCCCTCGACAACTTGTTGTACCTCAACATTCAAACAATTATTTTCTTACTGCAAGCCAAGACTCGCCGCAAATGAATCGATTACTGTAGTTTGACACTCACTTAGTGTAGTCTTCTCGCTTCTGAATGCCATACCGCCGCAAGACCTTCACTTCATGTAGGTTGTTGTCCACTTCCCACGAAATGAAGTCAACTTTTTTCAGAAGCTTTTTCTCCGCAAACTTTAGCTGACGCATCGTTCAAATACACGTCACACTGATTGAAAAAAAGAGACAAGTGGAATAGCCGGATAGCTCATTGTTGGGTTGGAATTCCAATCACACATTTAATTTCTGTGACGGCCAGATCCTCGAAAACATCACTGTACAATGGCCAAAATTTCTGAGTAAAGAAAATGCGGTGCTCGAAATTCAGTAAATGCGTTCTCGCCGCAAGATTCAGGTATCACTTGAAATGAATATTTCATCACGATTGAACCAACTACGAATACGGGTTCAGTATCTGAAAACGGACTTTCCAGCATCAAATCTCAGCAAAAACTAGATGAGTTTCACAGTAATATTCAAGAAGCACAACAAACCCTCACGAGTTTTATTACACTCCGTCGACAGATGAACAGCTTAATAGCCAAGGAAAACCGAGAATATCAAGGAGGAACGTTTATTAATTTCTTTTTGCATGGACACCACGTAAAAAAAAGAGCTCAGAGCGATCACAAATCTTCGTCATCGTCCGGCAGCGCAGTGTTCTGTGCTTCCTTCAGCTCGTCTTCGATCTTCTGCCGCCACACAGGGTCCATTTGGATTTCTGGCGGCGCAATTGCGGGTGCTGCCACGAATTCCAGGTTGGGGTCCCCGATGAGTTTGCGGGCAAGCCAGAGAAACGGCTTTTCAATATTGTAGTTGGACTTGGCGCTGAGGTCGTAGTACTGCAAATTCTTTTTACGGTGAAACACAATGCTCTTGGCCTTCACTTTCCGATCCTTGATGTCCACCTTGTTACCACACAGGACAATCGGGATATTTTCGCACACACGCACGAGATCCCGATGCCAATTCGGAACGTTTTTATAGGTGACTCGAGCAGTAACGTCGAACATGATCACTGCGCACTGTCCTTGAATGTAGTAGCCATCACGCAGCCCGCCAAACTTCTCCTGACCAGCAGTGTCCCACACGTTGAAGCGAATCTTTCCCCGGTGGGTGTGAAATACAAGCGAATGAACTTCAACACCGAGGGTCGCGATATACTTCTTCTCAAATTCTCCCGTGATGTGACGCTTGACGAAGGTCGTTTTGCCGACACCACCGTCACCAACCAAGACGAGCTTGAAAGTGGGCATATCAGCTTCTCCTGCCATCGTGCACTTCGAATACTCGCGACGATCAGCGGATAATTCTGCGCGGCGAACAAATTTTCAGTTTGAAACCTGAAAAAGGCAAGGCGATACCCGACTCGAACTTCACATATCATAAACAGAGTCCGTTTGGTCATCGTTTGCGGGTCAGACAATGATCCAATCAGATAGATTAATCAAGCATCACGATTCATCAGCATGCCGTTCAAAGATGAAACGAAATTAATCTTAATGCGTTATTTAGTTTTCACAGGAAGCACGGTCAGGTTAATAAAGAAACGGGGCTATAGGCACTTTCCTTTCAAGAAATTTGCAAACGCAATTACCAAGGAACTGGTAGCATAGTTTTCTCTAGCTATAACAGTCACACGCACAGCAGATTCACACAACAGTACAGATTCGCGTCAACTCTTCCCGGCGGGTCCAAGGCGAATGCGCGGCGGCTGTTACAGAAGTGACAGAAGGGATGCCATCTCCCATTATAGTCATACAGAAGAACGTGACTCTACCATACTCCCGCTCTAAAATGTCTGTTCAATGTACCCAATCCAAATATTACAGGTGTTCCTAGTCTTTCAGGTGAAAATAGTTTCCATCTCTTTCAGAAAATACCAATTGTTCCACGGGCTTCAAGCTGTACATTCCCAGTAGTGTGAAGGGGAAAAATGAACAGCGCTGGATGTTACACTATTGCATCTCAGAACGCCCCAGTATCCCTTGGAAAATGTCACTTCTTCGAATGTTCAACTTCAAAATTGAAATACAAGCTCATTTTCTGGCAGAAAATTTTCTATTCATCAACATTCAAGTAACAAAAAAACACAAATAAAAATCAATAGGGTCAGACATACAATACCCATGAAAAATCAGCTCAACTCTTCCACTGAATCCATAACCCGCCTCCCAAACAACAAATCTCCCCTGCCCCCCTCACTTAACCTCCTACTGCCAATATAAAATCCCTCTGGAGCTACTGAATCCTCAACCGTCTCTTCACTGTTTTTCAGTACTATCAAAGTTACTCCTTGTTGAGTCTGGTGCTTGAAGTCTCCCTGCTCTGGGGTTTCCTGACCAAGTGAAGATAAAGCAGGATTGCTGGATGACTTCAGAACAACTCTCATGTTCTCCATGCTTCCTTCAGGGGCATCTGCTGGCAGCAGCAACTCAAACTCTTCAACCGCATTTTCATCCTCGCTCTTCCCAGCATCCACCAGATTTGAACCCACAGAGAACTTCCTCCTAGGTGAGTCCAATTAAGAGATTAGTATTGATCATTCATCAAACCTCACTTGATGCATTGCCAGAATAGAAATATTGCAAAAAACTTTTTTCATCCAAGGAAAATAATTGTTTTGATGTCATTGCTCATTAATCTACTTTACAAATAGCTCCATACAATTTATTATTCAATTTCTGAACACTTCCTTTAAGAAATCCCTAATTTGAATTTTGTATCCAAAAATCTTCCTGGAAAAAACACACGGAAACTAAATCTAGAAACTAATTAATATTATAGCTAGATCTTCAATATCTCCCCCGATCAAAATTGTCACTGGCCAGCCATATTCGGCCGCACTCCTTCAATTCATCACTGATGATTCTCAAATTGGCAAAGCTAGCAAAAAAATGTCTTTGCTTAAATAAATGTACTAACTGCACGGTAGGTGGGGCAACAAGGAGTCCTTTTTGATGTTGGTCGATCAAGTCACAGGCTTTACCCAGGATCACAGTGCTGTTCAAAATCCGCATGGACAGGGCGGCGAAATAGCAGAGCACGCATAAAATCACACCTCCAAACGTTTCCACAGTCACAATCTGCGTCACAACTTTAATCAAAAGCACAGCCAGTGGCAAGGTCTGGAATCCCAGACGTCGAGACACGAAATCCGAATGATCCGAGAAAGACTAAATAAAACAAGCACAACAACGAAATCAATCAAGTTTGAATTGGCTTTTGAAGCATCAGCGGAAGCACATACTTTCGTTTGCTTGGTCCTCGCGACATCATAGGCCAACTGAGTCGTATACTCGTGATACACGTCCACGGGGATCCCGTTGAAACGCGTGATGAATCCGTGCTTCGTCCAGTCCACAAACAGTTCAGCAAACAAAATGACACCACAATCCAGCGCCAAGTCTAGGAACCGTTCTACAAATAAAATTTAGAAAATGACTCTGAACTAGGAATAACAATATTCAGAAAAAAAATTGCAAGAAGTGCTCTTGCAAACCTTCGTTTCCCCTTAACAAGAATGTTCTTCTTTCAAAATTTCACATTTTTCTCTCGGGTGTTGCATGTTTTTGGAAATACTGTACTATAAAACATAATGAAATACAAATTATTTACACAAGGTAAAATCTCCACATATAATGAATAAATAATGTATATCTTATGATTCAGTTTGTCTGAAAACGGGGATAGGTCTTCAGACAAATTTCTTGCAGAAAAATGGGGGTGGGCGGCTTACTCACGGGCACGTGGTACTTAAATAATCAAATAATACGGTATTACTATTTTCCCACAAAATTTCAGTCCTACACGCTCAGAAACCAAGCATCTCATTATAAACATTTTTCTCACGTCACTGGAAATTATTTGTAACAAGATTTTACTGTTAAAAATTCAAGAGTAACCAATAAATGACGTGAAAAGACGATCGGCAGAACAAGTCCTCCATGAACCTCACCTTTACTCCATGAATATTCCTTCATCGTCAGCAACATGATCACGCAAAGCAAGATCGAATAATGGAATCTCTCCCGAACATCCGAGCAAGTCAATTGAAATAAGTTTCCTTTGTCAAACTTCCGGAAGACGCTGGATTTCAGCTCCACGAACTAAAAACAAACATATTCAAGTTAATGCTCGTAAGATTCAAATCAGAAAAGCAAGCTTCGTCAGAAAAGCTGACATTGAAATAGAAAGTTTCTCATACGCCACAAAACAGCTGGTCACCAAAGCTTGGATTTTAAGGTTAGATCCCTTCGTGTTAATAATTAACTCTTTTGGGACTAGACTCTTTTTTTCCCCACAGGCATCCTAAACCACTCACGTTATTAGACATCATGATGGTCAGCAATGCTTTATTGTTGGCATTGATAGCCACGTTGAGCGTTGTTGCTTGTCCCAAAATCAAAACCGCATGCACAACTGCCGACATTCAAACAATTACGAGGACATTTTTCGGAAACGAGACACGGTTTAGTACTAACAAGCAACGGAAGAGGCAATCAGTAAATGAGGTATGACACCCCAATTCTCTCGCTTTCGCATCTTCGGCTCGGTGGCTGTCCAAAACAATGCGTCGATGCAATCTTGACCAATTGTTGACATCAGCTTGTCACCTACCTTCATTGAGAAAAAAAAGAAACAACATCGCACATTATTCGACAAATTCTTCCATTTATGGGTAAAAATCCGGTAAATCCCGAACAAATTTAACGCGCCAAAGCTGCAAAAAAATTAACAGGGTTTCCTACAATAACCATGCATTAGAATAACGGAGGAACTTGGGACACAAAATCGAGAGTTTTAAATGGAATGAACCAGGACAGGAAAATTAGCAAATTTGTCCATTACGAAATTTTTTTTTTAAACTGCATTTTTTTGGACTAAAAACTGAGCAAATTTTTAAAGTTTCGAACTAAAACTTGGGAATTTTTGGAAAATTCAGAAAACAGGAAAGCATCGTTTTAAAATTATTTTGCCTTCAAAATTTGATAAATTCAGAAAGTTATGAGTGAGAATTATCAGGATTATCTCCACTTCACGCTGAACAACATTAAATTCACAATTTTTCCCTGAAAAACACAAAAACTTTATCTGATGAGAGGCTTGCTCCAATTACAATATTTGTGAAGGAAAAACGCGTGTCACATAAAAAAATTTATCCAAGAACGTATTACTGTAGTTTCGTTTTGCGGGGACCCACTGTATTAGTTAATAACAATTCCACGCGTAACTCAATTAGCCCTTCTTTGTTAATTCAGCAAATGTAAACAGCGGATCAGGATGAATCGAGGAATAATTTTAAAAAAAGCCATCAAGAGTTCAAGCGACATCTGCCAGAAGAAAAATAATTCAAAAATATATTGGACAAGATGGGAGAATTCATCATAGACAACCTTTACCGCTTAAGAAATTTTGGTCTCTCCATAAACCTTAGAGTTCTGAACCGAGAAGAACATAAAAATTAACAACCATTACATAGCTAAAATCCAAGCCTTACTTTTTTTAACTGCCTTTTTGAAGTATTTTCAAGTCAGGGATATTTTTTCCTTAGTGAATATCTAAATTTGCAATCCCACACAGTACATGCAAAATAAAATTTTTAAAACAATGTCATTAGTCAAATCAAACCTCGATCATGTTGAAGATGATGTAAAGCTTCATGACTGACTGGGTTTTCACAAAGTGATAGAGAACAGAGATGTCAACAATGCACATGAACTTGTAACATATCAACAGGATGCAAATCTTGAGGACGTCACACGCCTCATCGGGGAACACGAAAGTCTGCGGCAGCCTCCGCGTCCTTCCAATAAAGAACAAAAAGGCAGCGTGAGAAACTCCGAAGGAAGATAACTTTTTCTTCTTTTTTTGCCAAAATACAATACCTCACTAGGGACTTCAGAGGTCGCAGTACAATTGACTTGACTGCCAGAATAAACCGAATCGGCAAGAAGGTGAACAAGTACAAAAACGCGTCCATGCACTGGAAAAATCCATAGGCGACGAAATGTTCCAAATTCCTCGGGATCGAGAAGAACGTGTACAGATTCTTCCTCCTCTCCTCCAACCTCGCTTCGTCTCCATCTAGCACAAAATTCCGGTTCAGCTCGGCACGAACGAAGTTCCAGAAACTTGCCCCCATACCTGGAAATCCCTCACGTCAAGCAAGTAGAAAAAAAAGGAAAAGAAAGAACAGTGATTCAATTCGAGTCAGTTATATCCCACAATGGGCCACAACCGGTTCGATTTTGTCGGCTTCGAGAGGCCAACAAAAACAACCTCTAAAACTCAAAAAACTCGGTATTCGTAGCAAAAATCAGTCTCTATAATAATTCCTCACCACGTTCCCACCCCACAATCTTTTGGGACACACCAAAAAAAAAAAAAAGAACATCGGCATTGTGATCACAAGTAAAGAAATTCGCGCACAGGTTTCTCCAGTCCACAAAAATGCCTTGAACTGGATCAAGTGTGCTCGGGTAGACACATTCACACACACTGTTTCACCCGAGAAGCGGTCTGCGGAACAGCAGCAAGGCCGCCAGACCTCCGGCAAGCAAGGACACCAGGTACAAGTCCCACGATTCGCCAAACGTGGCCGTGAATTTTCCAAATACAGGGAAAGTGACTGCGGACTCGGTGAATGATACCAGGGAATATGTCAGCGCCAATTTCGCCATCGCCAACGCTACTGGCACCTGTAAAACAACATAGAAAAAAGTAAGACTTCCGTTAAATCTCCAGAAAACGCCATATTTTTCCGTAAAATTTGGGGCTTGCGAAGAGGAAAGAGCATTAAAAAGTGTATTCAAAAGCGAAATCAAAATTACTTCCAGTGAAAGTGATCAAAGGACAATACAACCAATCAACAGGCCCAGAATTCCTTATTCATTAATTTCTGTAGTACGCAAGAAAATATCACGAAAAAACTTTCATTAAATTTCAATCACTTAGCTAGATAGATTATTTTCTGCATACAGTTGAACCTTGATAACACAACCTCCTCAAGTCAAATACCTCTTTATGTCAATTTTTTAAGTCTCTCTTTGAATTCCCTTAGAAACAATGCATTCAAAACCTCCCTAACTCCTAGACTTCCCCATCAAACCTCCATGACTCAAATTTTCTGGAAGCCTTTTTGCTTCGCTTTTATAGGAACAGGGAAGAAAAAAGAAATAAGAACAAATTACATTTTTATTCAAGTGAAAGACTCATTGGGCAAATGAACCCATGCCTCCAAATGCAGCATCATTTCAACTCATTCAAGAAGCAATTTAAGGCCCAGAATTCCACCAATTACAATTTCCTGTAATTCTTCTTCCTCCCCCACAACAATACTGTATTTTTTTTTCAACTGGAAACCTTTTCCCAACTAGCATTTTTTTGCTGGTCCGGTGGTCCCTCAAACTTCGATTTGGGGTTCGTATTTATAGGAATTCGTCTCTTCTGACCTGAGCATCGGGGCTAGTTTCAGCCGCCATGTCGTAAAACCGTTTGGCCAGGTGGAAGTCTTGCTTGAGCCCGAGTCCGTGCTCGTACATGTAGCCCAGGTTGAACATGGCCTGTGCATTGTGATCCTGGTCACTGGCAAGTCGGTAGTGCGATGCAGCCACCTCAAAGTCCACGTCGGTGCCCCAGCCGTTGTAGTGGTAATCCCCGAGCTTCACTCTGGCCCACGAGTAACCCTGAGCTGCTGCACGGCCCCAGTACAACAGGGCTCGACGGTACATTTCCATGCCAAGGAATTCCGCGAAATTCCCACTTTTCCCCTCGCTCTGGTCGAATATGAAGCCCGCGTTGCTCTGTGCGACTTCATACCCAAGATCGGCTGAAATTCGATGAAAAAATAATTAGAAAACAGTTTTGACACTTTTTCTTACCCCAAACTCTTATCAAGTAACTGAAATAAGTTCGAGAGACGGACGTTATATCATACTCCGAAAGGCTTGAAACCTAACCAAAATGCCTTCCAAGCAGAAAATTCAGTGCAGTACATAGAAAAAAAATTTTGGCGAAGGCGAAATGTAATGCATGAGTTCAGAGATGGATTCCTCGAGCACTGTACAATGCGAATAGTAATCCTTTCAGACATGCAACAGAAGTAAGAGGACTTTTTGGTTCCGAATTTTCATCTAATTTCAAGATTGAAGTATACAATAAAGTACATGCAATCGATCGTCCAATTAAATCGAGGGCTTTCTCAAGTTGACCACAGCTCTTGTTTAATTCTTTCATTACCATTTTCTCCAAAATGCCACGTTTTAGTACGTACTGTAAATACTAGAGGTTAGTAATTTCGGCGAGAACTGACAGATTTTAGATAAAACTCCTCGGCCATATGGTGAATAAAATGTAAATAACCGGCCAACAAAATAACACTTTAATTCTCAAAATGTATCAACAATTTCAAAATAATCACAACGCACCAAGGAACATGTATTTGATGAGAGCGTCTTCCGTTCGACCATTTCTGTAGTCGTGATGGGCTTCCATGAATTTCTCAGCCCACTTTCCACGCTCGGCGACGTTCTTCAGCAATTCCATGGCCGCGTGACAGGAACGCATCATGCCTATCCCAGTGGCATGCATTTGGGCCAGGTAATAAATAGCTAGCAAGTGTCCAGACTGCGACGCCAGGTTGAAATACTTGATGGCCATCTTGTAGTCCCGTCGCACACCCAATCCGTGGTAGTACATCTTTCCGAGCTGCAGCTGACCATCCACCCATCCTTGCTCTGCAGCCTGGATGAAATACCTGAGAAGACATTTATTTTAAAACATTTTTCAAGAAAATGTCAAGCGACCAGAAAAAAATCGATTTTAGGAGGTTATAAAACAAAAAGTAGAGTAACAATGAAGACCGGTATCTTCATCTTAAATTTCGTGAAGGAAACGGCACTTGAAAAAATCTGATGAAAAAATAAAAGTTGGCTTTTCTCCTGTTATTGTAGCACTTCCTACATATTTTCGCCAGGTGAAAACAATGATTCTGATTTTTTCACTCAGAGAAACCTTTTATCAAGCCCACCTTTCTAATTTTTTGAAGACATTCCACTGAAGCTGCTTCACTGGTTCTTGACTTAATTTTTTCAAATAAGCAGACACTTTTGTAAATACCTTGCCACGAAGTCTTTCAAACAAAAAAATTTTGAGTCGGAAACAACTTTATGAAACTTTGCAGGTCCGGAGAATTTTTTTTTTTATCTACCTGTCCGCGAAAAATTTTATGGAATTCGCCGGTCCGCGGGTTCAAAAAAGGTTAGGGGAATACTGGGCTACAGAACACTATTTGACAAAAAAAAAATCGTTCAACAGAGAAAATCGTTGTAGAGTCAGAGAGAGCGTCTACGGGCAATTCCTCCACTTGTTTCTGGTAACTGCACCTCAAAGCACGAGAATAATCCTTGTCGACGCCCTTCCCGTAGAGATACATGAGCCCGAGTCCGCCTTGTCCCACCGGATTCCCCATCTGCGCCGCCTTCGTAAAGTACTTCATGGCAGTTTCGTTGTTTTGCTGCACGGCTTCATTCCCTTCCAGGTACATCTTGCCAAGGAACGCGAGGGCGTTAGCGTTACCAGCGTCCGCGGCCGCCAAGAAATACTCGATCGCTTTGTATGGATCCGGTTCAACTCCTCGACCACCTGGTGAACGGAAAAAAAGGAACAACGTTATTCGGACTCGAAAAACATTTTTGTCATACTGTATAACGCGCACGAAAAATGCATCACACTATTAAATGAAAAAATACACTGTTTCAACAAATTCTTCAGAGTAGTCCAAAACACGTGCAGGGCTAGGGTGTAATCCACGACCAAGAAATTGCGGGATATACGAGAAAATAGTCTAAATTATCTAAAATAAAATTCTAGTAGTCCGTGGGGTGTAATCAATGATCATTTGGCAAGAAATAAAGAGAACATAGGCCAGAGCTAAGTCTCTCACTTTTATTATTTAAAGATGGAGTGCGTCGTTCTTTAACGCACAAAAAAAGTTATGCACTGCGGTATCAACTGGAAAAATAAACTGTTGCAGCGAATTCTTCACACCATTCCAAAACACGTGCAGGGCTAGGGTGTAATTTACGACTATTTACCAAGAAAATACGGGATACGAGAAAATAGTCTAAATTATCTGAAAAAAAAAAAATTCCTCACTTTTAGCCCTATTTTTGAAAAAAAAAAAATATTCTTGTCGTATAACCCGCGAAACAGGAAAAATAAACTGCTTCAAAAACTTCTTCAGAAATGTCAAAAAAAATGAGCGGGGTGTAATGTATGATTATTTGCAAAGAAAGCAACGAAAAAGAGAGCATAGTCCAAAGTACCTCACATGTAATAAAACACTCTCGTGGGAAAAATTCTGGGAAAAGGTTCATTTTTACCGCTTATACGATCCTGTGACTCAATATTCGATATTCCCTTAAAAATATGAATTCAAGAAATTTTAATGCTTTTTGAGGTATTTTTTAATGAAAAAAAAATTACCAGGATCACGCTTAGGCCTCGGTGCGTAAGTTTTTCAGTCATTTGCTTTCCATGCTTTGAATTAATTTTACATATTCAAAATTGATAATTTTCTGGCCTTCGTTTCGAAATTTGATCAAACAGCATCAAAATTATGAGAAAATATAGAGCTGAAATACTGACAGTAAATGAGGTTTGCCTCTCACAGTTTTACGTTTCATAAAATTGCAGACTGTTCATTGTCAACAAAGAATTGTAAACTCTTCTTAGCGACTACACTTCAGCTTAGACAAACATATACGTCCCTGAGTGTTTTTGGCAGTAGTCGTATAAGTGATGATGAATGCAAAGGTAACCGAAAGTGTCAATCAATGAGAAAAACCTTACCCGAATTTTTATAAAACTTTTAGACGCATAAATCGAGACCAGCTTGAATTAGTTCCTGATTTAGTAACTCGATTCAAAATGATTTCAAGACATTCCCGAAACTTTTGAACCACATTGCACGCATCAATTATGAATTCAAATACTGTATAAAATTCGGATACTTCAAAATACCACGCAGTTGATTTCGAATACGCGTTCCAAAACAAGAGTTTACTTGGAATCCGACACTCAAGAACTACGGAATCCTTTTCACAGGTCACGTAGACCTTCCTGCAAATATAGCTTCAAAAAGAAAAATAAAACTATGCAAAAAACGGATTCACAGAAAAAACAAGAAAAAACCCGCGATTTATGTTCCCTACACCTTCAACTCCTACATAGTTTTTTATACAGTGCAAGCTTTGACATCCCTGGCACGAAGCCACATCTACAAAAAAAATGAATAAAAATAAATAAAATGCTACACGTTGTGCTGAACACACAAATATTTCCTTGACCTTTTATCTCCAGATACTCGTCTAAAGACACGGTATATGATGCGATATTTCTTTTTCCTCAAAACGAGAACCAGTGGAGTTCAAAGAGCAGTGCACATAGTCGAATTGACGGCTTGGGCTTTTCGCGCAAACCCTCTTGTCATTCAAGAAAAAAGTTCTCCATGCAAAAACTGAGGAGTAAAACGATGAATCATGAATTTTGCACATTCTTTTCTTCACTGGAGAGTCTTGTAACATGAATCAAATAAAGATGACGAACTGCTGAAATTGCTCACCATTACCGCGAGAAAATTACTCGCTTTTCAACGCAATTTGAAGGCAGTTCAAGTGCCAAAAAATCCCGTCTCAAGTAATTTCCCTGATCGGAAAACCAGGCTTCGCAAAAAAAAAAAAAAAAAGATCTCAACAATATCGCAATATTTTCTTTCCTACAGTAAAATCGCATTACAACGAAATCATTGGGACTAGGAAAATAACTTCGCTGTAACGAAAAATTCGATTCAAATTTAAACATTGTGGCTATTGGAGAGGGACCTGAAAAAAAAACGACTTCGTTGTACTGGTTGATATTCGTTATCACGAAATACGTCGTAATAGAAGGTACCCACGAAAATGGCCAAACATTTTGTTCTAAAATGTAAAACTGCGCATCTTTTTCGCAAATGGACAAGAGCGTGTTGCAGGTTGTTTATAATCTCAAGAGTGGTTTGAAGGGCTCTGAACTCAGAAAAAAAATTTTGGGCGCTAAAATATAAATTTTATGTCAGCATCTAGCCAAAAAAAAATTCTTTTAACGCATGAACAAAGTCTGCAATCCAATAATTACGCCGAATTCTTCAAAAGGAACCAGAAAAAAATTTCCAATGCGACTTTCTAAAAAGGAAAATAAAAAAATCGACATTCCCAATGCTTTTTTCCCCTTTTCATGTTTTCTGCCCTGATCGACGAGCATCATTACAAAGGGAAAAATTCGGGACAAAGTCATTATACTGGTCTAACGACAATGAGAGCGATCAATAACACCACCACCACCCCCCTCCCTCCTGGTGCTACAGGACATTGGCAAAAATGGCGCAAAGGTCATTCTGCAACTCGCCAAGCACCGACCATTATTGCCTGACCCAGCCTTGAATAAAATAAAAAAATATATAAACGCCCAAGGTGGTGGTGGTGGCGGTGGCAGCAGGTCACCCCCCGAATGCGTGCATCAAACACTGCCTTTTCGCATTGATTATTCATGAACTCAGCCATTTATCGGCTACTGCCACCGACTCATTTCCCCTTCACCTTAGCCACGCATGTCCAAGCAGCCAGCGTTGCTCACGTCAACAGCAACAAAAAAACCCCCTCTTTCGTCCGCATTCGCCACGACGGCCTGTGTGACATTGAATTACGGAGGGAACATGAAGAGTGGAACTCTACTTGAAAATTTATAGATAACTTAATAAAAACACTACTTGACAAACAAACGAAAAAAATTTAAAAGAAACGCGAGGACAGAAACGCACTCGAGGGCGAGGAACCAGTTGGGGCTTATGCACGAGCCGTCTTGTTGCGGCTGGGATCGCAAACAGAACCTGGGTGGCAGCATGGCCATCTGCTACTGCTACATCATCCGGACGCCCACAGGCGCCTTTAAGCTCCTCGAGATCGTGAGTGACTAGCATTTGGCGGCGGACACGAGAACCCGCCATTTCTAAGACGCATTTCAGTATTTTACCCCCCCCCCCCCTCCCCCCAAAAAGCCAAAAGTGTGAAACATTTTCAAACGACAATATTTCTGATAACATGATGCAATTTGCACAACAATTGATACAGTGACGAGTTTCGATAGTACGGTGCAATACTTGAAAATCATCCTGGGTGAAAGAAAAACTCATCAGTGAGTTGGCAATCTTTAGAATGAGTTCACACCGTTGAAACACTTCATAACTCGAGTTAAGATCAGTTCTAAGACCCATTAGCGAGTGTAAAAAGCAGCGTCACACTTCATCACAAAGTGTGTTAAAATGCATTAGCAAACAGTGGACAGAAAAGTGCATTTGACGTTCAGGTATTACAGTATTTTTTTTTTAACTGAAAACAAAAACCAGCTTCAGTTTTTTCAATTTACAACAACCTGGGGCCAATAATAAGCCTATGATATCGTTTCGCAAAAAAAATCTGTAAAAAAGTGTACAAGGCTGTTTGCCCTATTTGCACTAAAAATTTTAAATTTTCTGCACGGCGTTAAAAAATCATATCTAACTCGTCCTTGGTATTATAAATTTGTTCAATGAGTTAAATCATTCACGTGCAAATTTGAGACGTCATGGATTCCAAAACACAACTTGATTTTCAGCCCTTTGTGGGGAAGCGAATTTATCTTCCCAAGCATTGGCTCTTGATTGGACATGAACTTCTTTGATTTTGGCCCCTTTATTAGCAATGAAAAGGGATTTTTTCACGCCAACTGAGTTGGCACAAAATTGATGCTTGGCAGTGCAAAATATTACTTAGTAAGCCACTCCAGTCGATGAACATATCTGACCTCGACCCTGCACGAATACAAGGGCTGTCCCAGTCAGACGCAACCTCTGATATTTTTTAGAGTAGGTGTGAATGTAAAAAAAAAATTAATAATGACATAGCTAATGATGATCCAAAGTTCTGGGATTTAATTTCAGATTTCTAAAAAACGTTTTACAATTTACTGCATGATGATGAATGAAAACTTTCCAATTACAGCCAGCGTTCTTTCAAGTGCTAAATTTTGTCACTTTTGTTTTACCCCACAAAAATATCAGTAGACTTCTTTTTTAAATGGTTAAAACGCCAATAATTAAATTGTAAGCTAGCCGTACAAGTTTGTAGAAGCCTGAAACTTTTTCTTGTTTTGCCCGTTGTATTTTCTGAAGATGATGGTTGAAACGACAAAATATTCAATTTTTAGCTAGCCTTACAAAATTTTAGCAACCTGTGAGTCTGTGACATAGGTAGAGAACTCTGGCTGTCATTGGAAATTTTCACTCGTCATCATGCAGAAAACTGGAAAACATTTTTGAAAATCCGGAATAAATCCTACAACCGCAGAACATCATAATACAGTGAGACCCCCACATGCGGATGCCTCGACTTGGGGGACATTTATTTATAAAAAAAAAATCATAAAAAAGGTCCAACATACGGACACTGACTCGACATGAGGACATTGCATGATAAAATTGCGTATAAATTTTAGGAAAATTGACTTTTATTAAGCTTAATTGCAAGAAACAGATATTTCCAGCCCTAAGATCTTTGGAAGAAAAAATATTTGCTACTTTTCCCATCCATTCAGGTAATTTAAAAAATTTACCTATAGCACAGAGGGACTGCCTTCTCTCTTTGGGAATTGAATGTTATTTTTACAGAGGCCAATATTTCAATGAACTGTACAGCAGTATACTATTCAATGCTCCAAATGTTCTTCTTGGGTTGAAATAATATTCCCTGAATCAAATTCAAGGCAAAAAAAATTTTCATGGAATTCTGAAGAATATTTCTTCCATAAAACACCGATAAAAAATTATACAGTATAATGTAATTCCATGGGAAAACAAGACCCGACTTAAGGACAATTCAACTTAGGGACACTCTTGATGCACCAATTAAGTCCGCATCTCGGGGTCTCACTGTATATATTTTTCATCACACGTATTCTGAAATATCAGAGGTCGCGTTCAACTGAGACAACCCTCCAATGGTCCTCACGAAAATAAAAATCCCTCTCACTAAAAACTCCATGAATCTTTTCTAAAAAAAAAAAAAAAAAAAAAAAAAAACAAAA